TTCTGAACTTCTGCATTCTGGACTTAGGACAAGGATTCGCTTGGGGAATTATCTGCCTACCAAAAGGGAGGCAACCTGTTGCCCTGCCACACGCTTTCGTCTTTAACATCAGATGTCGGCTTGTATGGTCCGAAAACTCTCGCCAGCATTTTTCTACTGTTCGATGGTAACTTTGCTTGGAGCTTTCATTACTCTGTTTAATAGTATTTATATAATACGTATAACTTTAATGACACGTCTGCATGTCCACACGGCTAAGAGTAGGCCCATGTTTCAGAGCCTGACAAGCTATACGTGGATATTCAAAAACAGTAATAAAAATAAGCCCTATTCCTCTGAACCTGAGAGAGCCTCCAAGTTGGCAGGGTTGTATAACCCGCTCGGGGGAGGCTGCTAGAATCTTAGAGCCATAATAGACCGTCTAAAAGGAAAAGGAATGTTGACCAAATCTTTCAATATTTGAATGTACGAATGCTTGCATTGGAAGAGTTATCGAAGATCTGTTGATGCAAGCCAAGCACGACGTCATCGGACTGACCGAGATGAGAATGCACCGGCCGTTGCACGTTTTTTTTCAAGACTGGAGAGCTGTTCCTTGGAGCATGCGACAGCAGAGGCGTCGGCGGTGTAGGTCTCCGCGTCAACATGCACTTGGCCATGAACATCGATTTGTGCGAAAGCTTGACAACCCGAATCGGACGTTTGCAATTGAGAAAATGGGCCTCAACCCCAGTCTCTAACACTTTAGGCAAGGCGGATACGTCGTCCGTTCTGTTTTTCCTTTCGAATTAGACATGCCATAATGTCGATGAGGAAGAGTACATGCCATGGCGTTTCCGGCAGGATTGAAGCAAAACGTCTAGAGAGCCTATCGCCGTCCACTGTCAAGACCCTGGCTCAGCTCTTCACGCGGTATCAGTCGGAATGCAAAGTACCCATTTCGTGGAAAGCCAGCAAGACTGTGTTGCTGTATAAGAATGGAGATCTAGTTAACACTGGCAGTTATCGCCCAATCTGCCTGCTGTCTATAATCTATTCACACGTCATCTTCAACAGAATATTAGATGAAGAACAGCCATGCGGGCATGCAAGGTTTCGGAATGGGTTCAGCACAATCGGTCATATCCGCGGTAATTGAAGCTGCGCGCAACCAGGGTGTTTCTGCTCAATATGTAAGGATGCTTCGTGAGCTCTACAACAACTTCACGACCAGGATCTCGCCATTTTATTATATATAGAAGTCAACCGGAATAGAGGGGTGTCGACAGGGCGACAAGATCTCACCCAAACTTTTCAACTCTCGAGATCTTTATGCGCTATGTGGGATGGAAAGTCATGGGAGTGAAGGTCGATGGCCGCTACTTACATCTCCGCTTTGCAGGTGACATCGTGCTTATAACACCAAACATCGAGCAGGCGGAGCAAATACTAGCCGAAAGCGACAAGGCTTGCGGAAAGAATTACAACTGACTCTAACGAAGATGTCCATGCCAAACGGATCGATGCCTGATGCTCCTTCCACGCTGAACGAAACGAACATCTTTGAATGTTATACGTGTATCTAGCCCAAGAAGTCAATATGATGAAAGACTAAACACCGGAGTTGAGCGGAAGAAAAGCGTGGGAAGCATTGAAAATCGTCGAGGAAGTGGTGCAGAAAACAGAAAGCATCGGGCTCCTTGCGCACCTTTTCGACACTGAGGTGTTTCTTCCTTTGACATACGCTTCAGAAACGTGGGCTCAACGAAAGCAGGATGAGCATGCGGTTACCGTAATTCATCGCGCTGTAGAGAGGGCGGTGTTCGGAATTACCCTATACACACAAGTTCAGAAGTTGATTGGGAGTTTCGAGCCACTTCAATGAACGAAGACCAGGGATGCCGTTGGTTACGCGGAGAAAACGAAGGTCAGGTAGGCCGGGCACGTCATGCTATATAGTGATGACAGATAGACCAGGGCTGTTACATAATGGATCGCGCAGGACCTCAAACGAACACCAGGACGGCCACCGGCGCGATGAGCAGACTTCTTCACGAAACCTTTGATAAAAGAAATTTTATGCCCCATTTTCCTCGAGCGAGTTGATTGGACTACTCTGACTCGCGACGGGGAAGAATGGAGACTAGAGTTACTTGAGTGAGTTAATGGGCTACTAGCACCCGCCCCAAGAAATCGCTGATCAACGAGACGACAGGTGATACAAGCGATGTCTGTCGCTGATCGATTTCTTACTGCGGACGTCTCTGAGGGGTCCGTAATCATTTAAGACGCCATGTCTACGTCTGTATCCATCTCGGAACGTTTATTCGAAATCTGTTCTCCTTATCTAAGCGATTTATTCTGGGAGTCCGGTCCTCGAATCGTTCTATAGAACACTTCAACTGATAGAGCTATACACCTGCTGTGCTTCGGTGGTGTTGTCGCTAAGCAAGTAGTGTCGTGAGAACCATACGAACGTCTGGATCCTCGATAATTTATTGGCTTGCTTTTACCTGAAAACCCCTTTAGGCTCTTTCAAAACAGTTTTGTATCCATTCGGACCGCCCCTACCTCTCATCGATCCTGAAGGATTACCTGAGTTGGTCTCGTACCATGAAAAGGAAGCTGCCTACTCTCCTTTGCGCTTGTCTAGGCAGGGCTCGCATTGCATCGCAGAGACACCCGAATAAAAACATCTATCCGTTGAAAAACTGACACGTTGTGCAGCTGTTTCAAAAATAGTGTGATTCGATGAGTAAAATCGAGCACGTGGCGCGCTCTAGAGCGAATCTGAACGCTCCATTCTCGCAGAACATCTCCTAAAAACAGTAAGGCGTGCAATCCATTTACATACTATTATGTACTTTCGGATAGAACTCAGGTGCATGGTCCAGTCTGAAACGAACACTTCAGGATAATTGCTCAAAGAGCTTGACGAGCTGAGCTCACTTTATCTTCAGCTCTTGTAATACTCCAATCTGAGCAGATTTATGAAAAAACTAAAGACGAAAAGACGCAAGTTTGTGCTATTCGCGTGGATTTCCGAGTTCTTACGGCGAGTACTGAACTGGACTCTAGGTCTCTCACAAGCGGGCACCCACTCGAACGTCAGTATATCAAAAAATGAACCCAGTCTAGCGTGTTAGGTCTTGTTACTGTATCGGATGCGTAGAGGATGATGGGAACCAACCACCTTAGCTCTTTTATGTGGTTTCAGCTAGGGGAATTCAGTTTCCCAAATAAGCCTAGTGTAGTGGCTTCCGCCCGACTTATTAAAGGCCTTAGGGGCGCGGGGGTCCCGGCGCGCACAGCGTATCGGCGCCTGCGCGTCGACTATACTCGACGCGTGCTCTGGCCTAAAACCATCCGGCAGTGTGTGTCTGCATTCGTCGTCGTACTCGGCCGCCTCTGCCCGCCGTCCTCTCGTCGTACCGCTCGAGCATGGAAGTGTGATCCAATCCGATGGAAGGTGAAGTGATCGACTTGGGCATGGAAGCCCAAAGGTGCCGAGCGGTCCCGAGCCACGCGTCGCCCCCCCCCCCCCCCCCCGTGAGATTAACGTACTGGGTTCGACCCACCTAAGACGTAGGTTTGCGGGTTTTCATCGTAGTCTATTTGCTGACGTATTTCATGTTTCTTTTTAAGTACATATGCATATAACATGAATTTCCTTTTTTTACCAGTTCTTTCCGTTGTCGTATTAACATTCCCTTTTTATTGGCGTACCCATGAAGGACTACGTAGAATATTGTGTTGGTAGTTTAACATCATAGACGGTTACGCCGTGAAGGTAATAATATCTGGTTCGATTGTTGAAGTTGGGCTGTGCGTAGGCTATCCCGGGTTGTAGGACGTAGCATGCGTAGGGTGGAGGTTGGAGTGTAGGACCAGCGTATGGGCTGCAAGGGCCAAAGTAACATCCTGCGTGGCAAATGGGGCGAGAGCGAGCGCTGCGTAAGACCCCGATCAGGCAATCACGCCGACGGTGACGCCGCTTCTAAGCGGCGAACACCGATACCAACGTATAGCGAGGAGCAAGGCGTCTCCGCTGGCGCAACACCTAGGTAGGGTAAGAGCACATGGGTGGCTGGGTGATTACCCCTTGAAAAAAGAAAAAAAAAGAAAACTCGCCTACCGCGGCGCTCCTTCCCTACGAAAGCCCTTAATTAAAAACTGGCATGTCCATGATATAACACGGCATGACGCGTTTCATTGAGTTCATTTCTTGTTATACCAGCCTTTGAATGGGTGCCCCCGCCCCCAACTACATTTTCACCCTTTCTTTTTTATCCTCTTTTTTTTATCTTTCCGTCTATGTTGATTCACGTCGCCCTAACGTAACATTCCTTGGTACATGAATTCTAATGTGAAAGGCAAAGAGTATCAAACTAATTGGCATTTTTTGGACGGTCTTTTGGCTGTCTTCATCATTCTCTATAACCCACCACCAAACTGTGTCCCTAAATGTGCTCTACACAACTCGTTAAAATGTACGCCATGCATTTATGAAAACCTCAGAGAATCCAGTAGTACCTACTTTCCCCCGCCTTTATCACCCTTTACTCCTTTTCCCTTCATCAACGTAACGTTCCCTGTCATAACCCATCCACTCCATTAACATGCTAGAGCTCCACGGTAGATTCTAGAGGACTTATCAATCTAATGGATTGCTATTCAATCTTCCTCATTAGCCGCTATCAGTAATCATCGTCTTCCATAGCCTCCTCACTTTGTCGGAGATGAGCTTATCAATGGCTATAGCTTTCTACTATCTTAATCATTATACCATTCACAACCACCAGTTTCAACTCACAGTTTTAATTCCGCATCACCCATCGTTACAGTCGAATGATTACCGATTTCGCATCATTTTTTGCATCAACGCAGGGACAAATGGTCCGTCAATGCTGTGAAGTTTATTAATAACGGTAATTAGGGGACTGTGGACCAGAAAGAGCCATCATGGTCACTGCACTGAAGCTATCTCGGCGTCATCGTGGAAAACTGTTCTTTAGTAATGGTCACCAAAATGTGATAATATTGAAGGCAGGACCACTAGAGATCATCAAGCGTTGTAACCTGGTTTCACCCCAGCCACTTCGCTTCTCGTCATTCTGTCTCGCAGTCTGCTTTAATTTGATTAACTCTGTCATGATGCTGATCTGCACGGTTACTCATCGAGTATACATCAAATCATGAGTAACCAGGGAAAAGGACCTCACGTAGATGATTGCCTTACTCGGAGGACTCATACGTACCCTGTTGATACTCTTCGGCGGTACAGGATCTCCTTGAGCACTCAGTGCATTCACCGGCGTTTTCGGAATTTGGCTCTTTGCTTTGTCTTTTACAGGGTTATCATTCTGAAACACGATTCACCTGTGCATAGAACATCAAGCGAGACATCAATGTGGACCCACCATCTTTGCAAAGCTAACACTAGAAGTAATCACACCACATCCATACCTCAAATCCCACAACAGCAGAGTATCACTCTTCGATAATGCGATGGACTGCCTTCATACTTCAACGTGCGTGCCGGCACGCAGGTGGAAACGGACGTACATTTAGGGAGCGGCGTGCGAGCGGCTATGCGACGACGACCCTACCCAAGCGTGTGACATCAGCCATCTTCGCTTTACAGTATCGATCGGTTCCCGCTGCTGTCACACGCTTGGATAGGGCCGTCGTCGCATAGCCGCTCGCACGGCGCTCCTTAAAGGTACGTCCGTTTCCACCTGCGGGCCGGCAAGCACGTCGAAGTATGAAAGCAGCCATAAACTGACAATGTCGTGTGTCAGTGTACAATTGCTGCTGAAGTTTTTGCTCCGATTTCATACAGTCGTACACGCAAGCTGCAGTTTTCTGTCAGTGGTCTCGCGGCATCAAACTGCAGTGGCTGCTTTCATACTTCGACGTGCGAGCCGGCACGCAGGTGTAATCGCAGGTACAATCTTGTGCGCCGTGCGAGCGGCTATGCGACGGCGGCGCTAGAGAGGTGTTGACAACATTGGACGCCGATAGATCACGTGCCAGTACTGTCGCACACTGGGATAGCGCCGCCGTCCAGAGCCGCTCGTATGCCGCATGCAAGAGATTGTACCTGCGATTCCACCTGCTTGCCGGCACGCACGTCGACGTATGAAAGCAGCCAGTGACCGCATTCACTCATTGAAGTCAGCCCACAGTCATTCAAATCTGACTCATTGACACTCATACTCACAAACAATGATCCCGAAGTATGAGTCACCGAATGTGAGTATTGGTCGGGTGATGTCGTAGGATGCGGGTACCCGCACCTCTGTACGGGTACCCGCAGTCCGGTTAGGAATGTTAGGAATGCGCCCGATGTCAAATTTCTCAGGTTGGCGTCATTTCTTGTGAGGTGTCTGTGGTTGAACTTAACGTTTAGTGTTTGACGTCATACAAAAAGAGCCGTCGTATTGTTTTTTTTTCTAGCTGGCTAGGTCGCGGTCGAGCGTTGCTCCATGATTCTCTTTTTCGCTTTTGACTTGGGGAAAGAGGTCACTCTCTGGATCTTGTATGCAGAAGTGCAATTGTTGATGGTAAAAGTATAGTTTTAGCCATGGCTTTCACTGTATCGGAGCTGATAGTCATAAACTGGCTATCATGGCTGATGATCATATCAGGCGTATTTGTAATGGTATCACTTTTACTTGGTATGCGAGCGGTGTATGGGCGATATACCATACAGTCATCGGTGGGTGTCTGATCAATAAGTGTTTTCCAGTTGGGCCAGCTGTCGTGTAATTTCAAGAGCGTTAAATTAAACGAATTCGTGGAGCTCCCCAGCAAAGTTAATGTGATGTTCATTGCGTTCGTAGAATTGGTGACTCAGTACATCGGGGCGAAAAGGGATAGATGGCAATCAATGGAAGGATGTGCGTGCCGAGGGTACGAGGGAATCGTTTGACTTTTAATCATGATGTCTAGCGCTAGTTGCCATCGGAATTGAAGTTGATGCTCTCTGCCATGGAGTGGAAGTCCATTTCTCTCCATGTTTTTATAGTGATTCAGCCACCGTTTCTCAAATTTGGCCTTGCCCTAGAAATGATCCTTTACTGAATCTAAGCGATGGTTTAGGCATAGCCAACTGGGTAGTTTTTAATCCTAGCCTGTCAATTAAAATTTAGCCTTTTCCCATTACAGAGGAATGCAAAAATAAAGACGTGATGAAAAGAAAAAGTACAACCGCCAAAGTTATCAAGAAAGCTTGCTGAGTCCTTCAAAAAGAATCCTCTAAGGATACCATTCTCATATTTCATTTTTCTCCTAAGCTTGTTGTAAAGTTATGTTCGCTGCTTACTTTACAATTTCAGTTTACTATCCAAACACGATATGCATGGTTTATACAGGAGCTGCCTTCATTTGTTATACCTGTTTACTACATCGTCGGATGTCGAAGTGTTGCTGGTTTCATAGTACTGGCTGCTTTTATTATTCACTACTTTAACAGGTAGCCTTTTCCTTCCCTTAGGAAGCTTCTTTAGCTTAGTGCATTATGGTTCCTCACGAGCAACTTCTCAGGTGGGGCGATTCAAAGATTGAAGAAGAAGTGCAATTCAAATAAACACAGACACCTTCAGTTTAATCCCTCTTCGTAACTTCAGTAGTCTCCTGCTTAAGGGAGCTTCTCATGAGCGTCTGATCAACCGATGCAATGGAACCAAAGGCCAAGGAGTTCCTCCTTAGGGTGCAGTTCTCGAAAAGGCGTGATTTGTCCCAAATAAGGTTCTAAACAACAACTATAAATTAGTTTGGTTCAAGTGCCGAATGGAGCTTGTGTGGGGCTGAACTTGTAGAGTCGTGTGAAAAGTTAACATATGCGAATCGAATATCGAATCGATACTTGCCCACACTTCCATTCCTCCCGCGCCGCATTCATTGTTCTTCCCCAAAAACAACTGAGAGGCTTTATCTTTTATCCTTCTATCTAAGTCACCCCTACTCTGCATATAACTAACCAGTCGGGCCGTCAAGCTGACGCCGGGCTCCCCTACTCCTTATGACAGAGTTGTAATGGCCGACAAACCGGCGGCCTCTCTTTATTTGGAACAAATAATGCTTTTTGAGCACGAAATTTAACAGAGGACTGACAGGGCATTCAAATGTTATTCAAAATGTTTCGATGCTTAGCCTATGATTAGAAGTCTCGATCTGTTGCCATTCATCTTAGAAATAATGATCCATTGAAGGTTCAACCAGTATGCAACCAAAGCCTTGAATTGCACTTTTAAATGTTGTCGAGTCAGTATAATACCATTATCAAATGTGTTAACAATGAAGTTTCCTTTTTCTGCGGATATGTCATTGGATGAGAATCCAAAATTATAAGCGGTCGAATGGGTTTTGTTAAGAATGATATCGAAGCAAGAAGAAATCGTGATCCCTCATCGAGTCGCAGACTTAGCTGGATAGCGGTCATAGTCTAATAGCAAGAAGTGAACCAATTTTCTCATAATTTAGTACGTTAGTCGGTCCCTATCACTGCACTTACCCTTATTGTCGAATGAAACATATTAAAAAGTTAAAGTTAGAGCATAAATAACAAAGGCATTATGATTTGATTGCTGACTGTTTCTTACTCTCAATGGCCTCTTCTGTCGTCAGTGTTCCCATCCTCTCCAGTTCTCCCACCAGATTTGGACGCTCAAGGTAGGAGACAGGAGTTAGTAGTTTCCGCTAAAACATTTACATCGCGCAAACCCCGTCTCCTGTGTGCGGAGTTTGGCCCTGTCACACTATAAGTGTTTCCATGTTGTCGCGGGTTCACATGTGATCGGTCTTGTATTCGAGCTGGACGAGCAGGAACTTTGAAGCGGCAGTTGTACTTGTGGTGTTCCCAGTAGCAGGTCGTATGCCAAGTAGACGGGAATTTTGTTGTGGGAGAATCGGGCATACGCTCCATTTCCCCTTTGGCTACTCCTAACCCAGCTTCCCGTTGCTTTCTTCTATTTGCCTGGTGGTTACTGTATGCTTCTAATTTCCAACAAAAGCAGTAGACGTGCATGCATCGACGGCAAAGATGCCCCACTGCTATATCAGCGGTGCGGCGCGTACTCTTCTCGTGATCTTTACTAGCCTTCTGTTTTTGTCAGTTTATTGATTATTGATTAGGTATCATTCCGTTACGGTGTGTTTAAGGACTTTCATATACCCGTTCCAATTAAAATCTGGAAACGGCACACCATGGTTTATCTGTCTTTCTGCGATTGCTTTCTGCTCTTGGAATGGCTATTTACAGGTTTGGTGCTATATGGCATGGGTTGGCTTCATTTAAATAGTTCGCTTTTTCAGGGTAGCTATCATGGTCAGTATTACGATCCTTCCAGCTTCTTTTCAAATTGTTTGACGTTTATCGGTAAGATCTACGCATGCTTAGTTTTGAACAGCGCATGGTCTCATGCATCTAACATTGCAGGCGTGTCAATGTTTGCAGTGGGAATGTTCATCAATATTCACTCGGATAGTATTCTCCGAAGCCTTCGAAAACCTGGTGAAACAGGGTATAAAATACCGCGAGGTGTGTGAATTTAGATATCCGTTAGAGAGAGTGTGAAAGCGGGTTTTGTTAGTATTCTACATTGTCCTATCATTATCATCTGGGGGATTAGTGCATTGTAGTTGTTATAGAATACAGTTTCACGCGTTCCCTTGCGTGTCATATCTGCTTTTTCTGAACAGAAGTGGAATTAATATATCTCGTAAAACTGCAGGTGGATTGTTCGAATACGTTTCTGGCGCAAATTTTTTTGGTGAAATAGTCGAATGGGCTGGTTTCGCCATAATGTCAGGTTCATTACCGGCCATGTCTTTTGCCATATTCACTGCTTGCAATATTGGACCGCGGGCAATCCAGCATCACCAGTAAGTTCACAATAGAAATATGTCGTAATCCGGTCTTCTGTTGCACTCTTGTGTAGAATATAGGCTCTGCGTAAGCATTGGTAGTGATTGTTCGCTCAGTCATTCGCCAATTTAGCTTAGCGTTAGATGGGTCGGCGTCATATGGGCGTCAAGAAATTGAGAAAGGTTCACCAGAAGCTTTGAATTCTTCCCCACTCTCACTTAGTCGTTATTGATGCACAGGCTTTGACAAATACGCGGAAACACAGCGGTTAAGACTTGGGATGCCATACAGATTTGCATCCCTATTCCTTTTTCACCAGACTCGTGAACTTGATTAAGAATTTCTCAAATTGCCGCTTTCGCCAACGAGTCCTTTACAAACGTCTATAGCTACAAGTATTAAACGAAGAGTAATCGAAAAGTTTGATTATTAGTAAAGGAGTGTTAGTCTGGATGGTCGTAAAGGGTATCAATGCTTTGCTCTTCTTTTGTCTATTATGATAACCCCAGTGTTGTTTTTTTTCAGGTGGTACCTGAGCAAGTTTCCTGATTATCCAAGAGATCGCAAAGCTGTGATTCCTTTCGTGTTATAAATGTCGCTCTATCAACCCTATCGGATTACCATGTTCTAATTCCCCTGAACTACCTCAACTATACATCTCGTGCTTTATTTTGGATTTACCGGGTTATGGATAGAAAAGTCGGTCAGTTTCGTGAAATTTAGCAGTGATTGTGCCGTGCACTTCTAGTGACCCGTTCACTCGTTCTTGCCTCGTTTTCGCCTACCTCCTATAAACGTTTGTTTCTTGCAGCACAAAGGAACAGCCACTCAGTGATTATCAAGAACCACAAAGTTTCTGGCGATTCGGAACTGTCGAATGCTCATTTAGCGTGGCTGCTGATACGTAATCAGAGTCTATCATTTCTTCATTCTCGCTAACCACGCAAGTAAATCCTTAAACAATAAAATTACTGATCCCCGACTCAGGTTTTGTAAATATTGGGCCGTGTAACATGCTTGGCACCATATCAGTGGTATGTTGAAGTAGTTTTCTTTTTCATCCCAAAATTACATCTAATAAAACATTACTATGTTTCACTGTTACTGATCATATATTCCGCATAACGGTGAAAGATTTCTGTGACATTTTTCTAGTGTACCTTTTGATTCTTATTCATTTCATTTCTTGCTTTCGACAGACACTTCTTCATAGTATCGCTAGTAAGTGTGGCGAGCATCATCACTCCAACGTCCTCTTGTATCATTTTTCAGTGAACCGTGGTTATTCAGTAGAATGGCCCTGTTTAGAAGATGATGCGCACTCTAACCAAGTCCTACATTCTTCTTCCCATCGTCAGCAGTTATACTATGAATGTATCGAATATCAGACAATTGGCTGCTCTCGTTACTCGTATTTTTTCGCCTATTGTCTTAGTGATTTGGCAATATCTATAGATAGTGCAGTGCCCCAGCACTGAAAATATTGGCATAGCCAATTAAAAAATAAACGCTTGCTGTCACCGCAACCTATGGTGCTTCTCAGTTATATGAGTAGTTATAATTCACTGATCGGTAAGTTGAGTCGTAATCTTTAATAGAGGTGGGGGCAATGATTACTATTTCCTGTGATTCTTCATTCCTTCATTTAAAGCTGAGAAGTTTTCGCAAGGTCTCACCTTCCATGCAAAGCTTCAAGCTAAGATGTTAATGTGCTTTTATGATATCCGTTCTGACGATAAGTGCCTTGCCACCGACAGCCGTGCTTTCCTACTTGGCTAATGAATTGGTCTCAGAAAGTATTTGTAATATGCTATACCTTTCAGAATTTCGTTATAATATTCATTCCATGCCCTATTATAATTCAGAGCGGTTTTATATCAACCAATTACAGAGGAATTTATTTTGGTCATAACTTACAAAATGAAGTGAGGATACATGCTTTAATGCAGGCAAGGAAGTGGGTGCTTAATTTATCAGTTTTCAGCAGCGCTGAGGAAATCTTTCCGAATCCGATATTCTTCTACATTTCGGCCTTCTGAATTTTAGCTCTTTATCGACAACGAAATCTTTAAAGTTATTCTGGGTATTGTAGTACAGTCGATATCGCGAAATCGATACTGGTGTATTTTCAGGTTAAGTTTCTTACTTCAGCAGTATTGAAACATTTATCGCAGATTTCTCTACCGTTTTCAACATTCTTGCCCTGATATTTTGGAGCTTTTCTAGCCCTACTCATTCTCATGAACACCCTTCTAAAGTAGAACATTTTAATTTTATGAAGGTTGAGTTCTAAGGTAGGTGTCACGGCCGCAATCCCTCTTCTTGATTGGGATGGTACGACCCTCGTAACTATTGTAATTCTAATTCATGCCACATTCGAAAATAACTTCTCAGCAGAGCTTGTGGGCAGTGTTACTGAATCCGAGGTCTGAAATTTAGTTTGCATCGTGGAATTCTTTTGGTTTCGCAACATGTTTAGAGGTGTAGAAGCATCGCTTACGGTCATGCAATGGGATTTTCTATTGGGATCCTCTTTTTTTTTTTATTCATTACGCTCTAACCACTTCAGTTTCTCCACATACATTGTTCATTTTTCCATTTTTTTCTCGCACAAAAGCCCTACTTTAATCATGATGTGGCATTGCTGCATGCTTTTGGTTGCCAGGAGTTTGTCAGATACATTGTTCCAACCGGTGCCTCCTTTTTACTCAAATACGACAATAGTTGTTTTCAAAATCGATGTTCGATCCTCTGTAGATTAGACAAATTGCGATCCGTTCAATGTTATCTAATCTCGTACGATCAACGCGACCTGTATCCAGGACGGTGATGTTTGTCAGCGGTTGCTGTTTTCGTGAGCGCTTCAATTTCTCAGTCATGCTTTGCTGTTCATTTTACATTCCAATGTGTTGTGGTATTTCCTCTTTATGAGCGTCAAACTCGTCCCCTCTTCTTTTGTGCCCTTTTTCATTTTGTTCCTTCCTTATATTAACGACTTTTCGAATTGTTTCGCTTTTCTTATAACGGAGAGAGGATGCGACAATGTTGAAGTGTTTATTGCTTGACAATTTTCTTTCTATGGTCGATAGAGTCCTGGTTACTCTCCTTCGTCTATTTCAAAGAAGTATTCGGTACTGTGTAAGCGTAACAATGTTGACCGAAAAAGGAGACTGTGAAGACTTGGAATATTTAGGGGTGTAACATAACGATTGCTGCTTTCACAGTTCATAACCGACCGTTCAACCGAGCAGTCGGTCAGTGAAGCTTGAAACTGTTGACACGTGTTGACAACTTGTCAGATTGCGTTGAAATCCGCGTGACTCGTTGAGCTTTCAGACTTTAACTTCNGATTGAATCGACGCCCTTCCGTCGCGTGCGTACCACGACGGCGGTTTTAGGCAGGTGTTGACAGCGTTGGATACCGATCAATACGGCAAGGCGGCATGGCGAAATCAGTCAGACGATTCAACCGACGTCCGTGTGTCCGTCCGTCGCTGCACGCACGCGACGGACGGACTTTGGTTGAAGCATTGATGTTGAAAACAGCCACTCATTGGTGTCCTGCGTGGTCAACACGTGGCCAGTCAACACGATGCTACAATCGGTCGGTCCGGCGTTGAACTGTGAAAGCGGCCATTTATGTATTGAAGGTTATGGCCTTTCTTATGATAGATTCAAGTGAAAGAAGAGTGAAGAAAAAGAATCTCTTTGCAGAGGTTCGAGCTGACAGTAATGAGGTCAGTGCGAAGTTAGAGAAGAGAGGGCGTACTGAATAGTGCGGTTTGCGTACGAATATAGTCTGAGATAAGTCCATTGGTGGGCACACTACTGGCCTTGGGGTGTTTGCGATCGAATTTTTTCCCTTTTCTGTTCAGCTCTTCTACAGCAGTGAACAAGCAGATAGCTTGATATCATTTGACGTTTTTGTTATCTACCGTTTTTTTTTTTTGCTACACAGCAAAAATCTGACTTTCATATCATTCACATTGAGACAGCGTTGAAGTTTGTGATCTCCATTTCTCCAACTTTTGTGGCTACACTTAATTGTCGCTATTGTAGGAGATAGGGACATCTTGTGACTATATTTCGTTCGTAATGTCCAAACTATTAGGTTGTTGTGTAGCATATCTTCTTAATCATTCCCTGTAGGGAAGGAAGTTTCATCCCGGGCCAAGGTACCAAGGAAATGCGTCGAGATTTAGGTAGGATTTGTAGCTTTCGTAAGGGAAAAGAAGAGTTGACGCCTTCGTTAAAGAGTTTTAGCGATAGTTTAGACATACGACTTCTCAAAAAGCCACTTTCAATGATCACAACGCTACTTAATACTCTCATCCCGCGATTCTCAAAAGGTTCGCCTCGCGCTAATCCTTTCACTGAGATTTGTAGAGCGAAGATATCGATTTTCATGGGACGGACCGCATTAGGTATCGGGAATGAGAATTTCAATGAGGTAAGCCAAAAAAAAAAAACCTGGAAAGTATAATTCTGATTGTGACGGTGGGAGCTATAGAAATGTAAACATCGACGTGGAGCAGGTTGTGTCAAACCCCATTTTCAGATAATATGTATGTGAATTTTGCAATTTTCAGATATTCCATAAAGCGCTATTCTAGATGGATAATATACCACTACCTCCATCGTTTGAAAAACCTGAGAGCAATGAGGAAAAGGTGAAGGCTGAGGGAGCAGAGAAGAAAGAAAATCCTACGGATGGCGTTAAGAAAAAGGTATCTATGATTTTTTGGAATATTATCACTGCGTTCCTGTTAGTATTGTGCTTTTTTTAAGCATGATGAAGACAAGTTCATATGTAGGTTTTTCTTTTTTTACTTGCATCGTGTTGTTTTTTACGAGGGTTTTGCATGAACCCTCATAAAAAACAACACGAAGCAAGTAAAAAAAGAAAAATATTGCGATATATGCTCGCTCATGGCTAACAATGTGACTTGATCACAAACAATCGAATGTTAGTGGCTGCTTCCAGAGTTCGACGATTCTACCTGCGTACGTGACTGCACGCAGGTAGAATCGCGCGATGCGACGGCGACGCTAGCCACCTGTGGGCAGCACTGGCACATGGTCCGTCGGCGTCCAATGTTGTTAACACCTGTCTAGCGCCGATCGCATAGGCTCTTGCTCTCTCGCACGCACGATTCTACCAGCGATTGTTTTTGCGTGCCGGCACACACGCAGGTAGAATCGTCGATATCTGAAAGCAGTTAGTGGCGTTGC